CTTACAAAATTTCTCATGTTGCAGGATCGCCACATTCTTCCTAATGGAATCATTTAAACCATTTTCAAATCTGCTGCACTTGTCTTTTTCCTCTTTGATAATACCTCCAGCATAACGAGAGAGCCTTAGAAACTTTTGTTGGTACTCGTCTATAGACATGCCTCGTTGCCTTAAATTCAAGAACTCATTTCTCTTTGCATCACAATAAGCAGATGGGACATACTTCATATGAAATTCCTTAAGAAAATCATTCCAAGTAAGAACAGGAAGTTTTACCTTGGCATTTGGAACACTTACCCACCAATCGTAAGCATTCTTTTGTAATAGTGAAATAGCATACTTAAATTTGGCAACTTCTGAACACTCTAACTACTCAAATACCCTCTCCATGCGCTTCAGCCATTGTTCAGCATCTGTGGGATCAACGATGCCTTCAAACTCCACTCCACCCATTTTTCTCATTTTCTCAAAGTTAATCCCGTTGGGATCATGCATCGATTCAGCCATGTGGCGAAAAAAATCAGCCATTTGTTGAAAAGGAGGATTCATGGCTTGAGTACCACGACTCATGTGAGAATGTGAACCAGCTCTTACACCCTGATGGTTTCCCACTTCAGACCCACTAGTGTGGGGAACATATTGATTCGAGAAAGGTTCTCCAACCTCTTCTAGTGCATGAGGTTGGGAAACAAAGGTACCCGAACCTTCACGAGCAACTTCCATAGGTAGGTCAGAATAAGAGGCCAGGTGTTTGGTGTAGTCATATAGTGGTGAATGATAGATAAAAACTTATTTTTTTTAAATAAAAACATAAAGCCAAAATTGCATTGCTTGTATCCTAAAATGTTACTCCCTTTGTCCCAATTTATGTGACTTACTTTCCTTTTTAGCAAGTCCCAAAAAGAATGATACATTTCTATATTAAGTAACTATTTAACTATAAAATGTCTATTTTACCCTTAATGAAATGATTTACAGGCACACAAATTTCTATCATTCATTTTGGACCACAAATTTTTAAAGTCTTCTATTCTTTCTTAAACTCTGTGCCGAGTCAAACTACCTCACATAAAATGGGACGGAGGGAGTAATATATTGCTTCAGGCATCTACTTACAAACTGAAGGACATGTCGATAACAAAACTAATAATGTTAAGTCAAATTTTGGTTTTAGCATTAAACTAAATCTCAAACTATCAATTAAGGGGAGAACCTTCAAAATTGACATACTTGCTGAAGATGCAACAAAACTAATATGTAGGTATATTATTGCCAGAGTATATCTAACAAAGTACTTTACTTTTCACTATACCTTTATTAATATATCGACATTTCACATATCCAAATGAAATAGCATAAAAAAAAATGTTCATCTAATACACAAATCTCAGAGCCAATCTGAGATCATTAAAACTCTTTAGTTAACCATCTTCATATTTCTTTGGAACATACATATGGTAAATTCATGTCATATAAAGCTTTAAAGGTTCGTCAGATCTAGAAAGAGAACCGCACCACCTGGAATCCCATGTAATGCCATTGTCTATAATATAATATCAAAGTCTTCTCATAAGTTTTCTTGTAGGGAGAACCTGCATGACAACTCACCTTTTAAGATCCGGGAACGAACTTAAAGTAATGGACATTCTAATTTACCTTGCCTGGAGCTCTTGGATATAAGCCTTCTATGGACGTTTTGTTGTTCTTCTTTGATTCTCCAAATAACAGACTAATTGTCATGGATCATTCAAACTAACAATGGAATGTATATAGTAGTTCTTTGGAGATAGAAAAAGATAAATTGCCCACCTGAAATATAAAAAGGAAAAATATTATCCAGAGCTTCTATTGTCTGTATGGCTCGATCATTTGCTAACAATAACTGGTTGAGTCTTGTCTCCTTTCACTTTGTCGTATGCAGAGGTATAATTCTCTTGCAAAGACAGAAACAAAAATTGAGTAGTCTTTGTAAGAATTCAATTGTTGTTCCCAATTTATTATATAACTTGAGTACCTGATTGACATGCTACTCATGCGAAACAATAACTTTATAGTTCAATCCAATTTTCATCAAGTATTTCACAAGCCTATTTAATTTAGGACATGAATATTTCTAGTAAAGAATTTTTTTCATAAGCAAAACACAGGTAAACTAATGAAGTTGGAAGACGTGGATTTAAAGTTCAAACATTGTACAAAATTGAAGAACTGAAACTTCAAATGGAGAAGGGATGAAATTAGTATAAAACTTCAAAACAAATTGTTGCACCTGTTTTATTTAAAAATATATAATTAGATTGGTCTAAGAGTCGCCACTTAATTTTTAAAGGAAAATTAAGAAAAAACTGATTTTTTTCAAGAGATTAAAAACAGAAAATCTAATGAAAATAATTAAGGGGGTTCGAGGTTCATATTAGCATTTCGGAAAGGGTTTAAAAGCGCCCGAAATGCCCGCTAACATGCGGTTATCCGGTAATTAATTATTTGGCTAAAATAATTTAACTTAACCTGAAATTGCAAAATTTATAGTTAGAACTGTTTTAAAAGGGAAAAGGGGAGAAATACGGGAATACTCATCTAAGTGAGAGAATTTGCAAAATTATTCTTTAAGTTCATTTAAAAGACCGATTTAGTTAAATTGTTAAGTCAAAATAGGTGTCTTTTGGGGTTTTAAATTTTTCGACCTTAAGATTAACAACAAATATTAACAAGTAAACAAACATAATCAAAAATGAAGAGGGAAAGAGATTTGGGCCCAAATCTGGTTTCTTGTCCGCCTGGGCCAGTATTTGGGCCAATTTTCATTTTGGGCCTTTGGCCCAATTTTTTACCTGTCCTAAATTCTAGCAAGATAATAGACAAGTGGGCTTAGGCCCAAAAGTAACGAAATACAATTTGAATTAAGAATGGGCCTTTGGCCCAATCTTTCAACTTCTCGATCTATTGTTTCTTTCAACTTCGGGTCTTGTTCGTTGATTTTCAATGGCCGGTTAACTCAATGAAGAAGAGATTTAAGCTTTTGTTGCTCTCTCGAAATGCAACTGGGTTAACAATAAGAGTCTGACGGACTCAGCCAGCAAGTTGTACCCAAATAAAATAAGGAAGTGGAATTAGAATATTTATTTAGGTAACTGGAAAAGAAAATAAATAATTCAACATTTTGGAACAACCCACCACAAACTAATACAAATTGAGTTAAAAGCAAGAAAAATTATTTCGACATTCAAAAAATTATTTCCAGCCCTTTGAAAAACCAGCAAGAAATGGCAACAAGGATAGGAAATATTTCAACAAAACTTGGCATAAATTTTATACATTGATGCACACGCTTAAGAAACGAAAGCAAGATATTATTCGGACATGAATCGATCCATTAAAGTTTTTATCAAATTCCGACTCAATGGTCAAAATTAGCCCAAAATAAACACACTTATGTGTAAGAAAATGCTGCTACCAAATAAAACAAAAGGAAGCATGCTCATACTAACTACATTTTAAAGAGGTTGGTCAGTATATTAATTTAAAGAAGAGAACTTTGTAAATAGCATTAAAACTTGAAGACACACATTTCATGCAAGCGGGTTACTACTCAACATCACGAAATAATTTTTTTATACATATGCCTACTAGATTTTAATGTAGGATGCCCACCAAAACTTTAGAGATAAATATAGAGATGTAATATATATATATATATATATATATATATAAAAGAACAAAAATCCAGTGAGCTCCCAGAAACACAAATCCATAATGGGACATAGACATACTATATTGATAGATTTAAAAAAAAAGAACTCCTATACTTAAATGAAAAACGAAGGCGAGAAAATAATAGAACATGCGACTAATCATTGCTAAGACGAAACAAGTTAGAACCAGTAAAGAGGCAATAGAACTTAGATCAATTTGTTGTTAATCCCCCTTTTAGATCAAGTTTAAATAAAGTAAACTTTAACACAAATTTTAACAATATGATCAACTAACATATTGATTCTGGAGAAGGAAGATAAAGCCTACATCCCAATAAAGCTACCAGGTAAAGAATCAAAACGAGTAGTGACACATGTGACATACAAACTCGGTACAGTAGCAAGTACAATACACGAACTCGGAATGTTGGCATAATAATTCATTCATTTAGTTTGAGGTGAAGGAATGAAAGATATCGTGTCGAATATCAAGCAATAGGACGGATCTAAGAGAATAAAGTAGGATTGAAGAAGTGTTTCGAAAAGCTATGAAAGTCAAGAAAAACAAGAACAACAGCAACCAAGGCATCCACCTGTCATCATCTATACTCAAACAATCGAATCACACCAATACAGAACACAACTCAAATCTCGGACATTTACTGGAACATAAATAAAATGAGAGAGTCGAGAGTTGTATACCTTTTGATGAGCATCGACTGGGATACAAATGAGCAAGGAACCGACCCTTCTACCACAAGAACTCGAAACGAACAGTGGACAAGAGATTTGAGCAGAGAACTGAACCCAAACACCTAAAAAAAACTATTGTATCCTCTATCTCTGAAACGTATTTTAGTTTGTATTTAAAATACTAATGCTCAAGCCTCTGTATTCTTTTTTTTTGCTAAAAAAAATCCAACTCTTCTCCAATATTTTCTCCAACCAAAAATCTTTAATCTTTTTTACAACTCTTTTTTTTACCACTTTTCTCTCTGCCCCCAACTATGAATAAGAGGAAATGGGGGGGGGGGGGATTTCGGGTCCCCTTTTGGATTCAAGGTCCATTCAAATTTCAAAATCCAAAAACTTTCACCATTTTGGACAAACACCCTTTCCTAAGGTTTTAATTCATTCCGAAAAAGGAAAAGGCGAATAGATGCTTGGGATTGATCAATCGTCCTTGAGCGACGACGTGGCTTCATCTCCAGGTCACAAGGACGAAGCACGTTGCTTGCTTGCTGAAATCGTATAAATTGGAAAGGGACGTCTGAAGAAGAGAACAAAGAAAACAGAGTATCGCCTTCTATTGTTGTTGCTTTTCCGTGTATTGACGTTGTGAGTGAGCTATTGTCGCTTGTGAACTGGTAACATTGAACTAGAAATGGGTCTTGTTGAATGAGGAAAAGGGCCGGGTCGGGGCTTAAGCTGACTGGAGTTGGAGGAAGAAAAGGTTGAATTGGGCTTGGAATTAAAAACCTAGAGAAATGGCTGCTGGGAGGGGACATTGGGCTGCGTGGGAAATTGAATTCAGCCCAAAATTGCTCTTCTAATTTAGTCAAAGATCGAGTAAACAATTGGCTAAGATTGCAAATAAATAATAGTCAGGAAGAATTTCAATTATATCCGAATTTTGGCCGATATTTAAACAAGACGAATTTTTCATAAATTAATTAGGAAGCTTCTTAATCTTAATGAAATGAAATAATTAATTGATTATAAAATAATCAATTTGAATAACTAAGGATTATAACTATAAGTTGTACTAACTAAATTAATAAAATACTTGTCTTAACAAACTTAGAAATTTTTGATATGGTGTTTTCAAATATTTGTAAAATGTACTAACTACGTATATAATTATATGAAATAACTTTATTACTCAAAATACTATAAAAATCGACGGAATTACTTAGAATAGCCTTAAAATATTTGAATTTTATAAAGTCTAATTATTTTTAATTCGTTTGAAGAGTTAAGAGGCTCAGAAATTAATTATTATCGGGGAGGGTCAAAATTGGGTGTCAACAGCACCTCAAAATAAGCCCGTAGAAAAATTAAGGTGGAGTAAATTAATGGGAAAATTAGCAATTAAGTCATAATACCTAACATAATTAGTCAAAATAACAACACTTTAAAATATTTATTTAAAATGGCAGAATGACAATATTTTTATAAAATAATATGTATTCAGATTTTAGTATTTAAAATTAATTTTATTTATGGAAAGAGTCCTATATTCATTTTGATTTATTTTGATTTGATGTTTAAATCACCGATTCTACATATTACGGATTTCCAGTCGAATTTTTTAATTTTTATTTGATTTTGTTTAGTTATTCATCAAATAGTTATGATTTTCAAAAAAAAAAATCAAATATTTTTGTGATTTTCTTTTAATTTTTCAGATTTTGGAGAATCTAGAAATTCATATGTATGTTTATTTTGTTTGATATTTAATACATTCTAATTTTTGATAACTTTGAAATTCAAATTATCAAAAAATTTATTTTCATATTTGAGATTTAGTAGATTGTAGTAACTACATTAGCACACATACATCATATATTGTTTGATTTTTTTATACATTCATATTTAATAATTTCGAATTTTGCCTATAGGGTTACTAATGCACAAGTGAATACGGATTCAGATTCGGTTTTGATGGAAAAAAATCGGAAAAAAGAACATAGCAGATGAAGAAGAAGAAGAAGAAAGACAAAGTCAAATAAGAAGGTTACAAAATTGTATTCATACCACAATTGTATTCATATTAATTTTTGTTTGTCAATTGTTTTTCTTTTACTCATCATTTGTATTTTTATTTTAAAATATTGTATTTCTTTTTTAGTTTGTAGTAATTTAAATAGGTATATAATGTATTCGTCACAATTCTATATATTATGATTGAATACATAATTTATAGAATTGTGACGAATACATTATAAGAAGGGAAATGGAAACTTATTGTTATTCATTTTTTCGTTTGAAATACAAACATACTGAAATACAACCTGATATTTGAAATACAAACTTAGTAAGACATATTTTGTATTTTATTTGGCTAAAGCAATATAATTTTATAAAATTGTGCGACGAATACATCACAAGAAGGGGAATACAAAATTATTGGTATTCATTCTGCGTTTGATATACAAAATGATATTGAAATACAACCTGATATTTGAAATAAAAACTAATCTAGAAAAATACTTTCTGCAAAATTTAAAGTGAAAATAATAATATAACAAAATTGGATATTGAAATATAAATACAATTTATTTTGAATAAACTTATTCTACGTATTATATATGTATTCATCGCAATTGTATTTTTCAATATCATTTCGATCTACAACTAATTTGTATTTATATTTTGGTATATACTACACAACTGCCTTTATTTTTGTACTTGAACTAGAATGCTGAAGAGTTGTATTCATCATAAATCAATACCAACTTTTTTTGTATTTTAAATTAGTTATATATATCATTAGGTATTCGAATACATTTCAGATGAACACATATTCAAAGAAGTTCAAACATTTAAATATCCAAAACAGAGGGCATTAGAAATTTTCCAACACTTCCACTCATATAAGATATAAAATACAAACTACTGTTTTCAAAAAAAAA